GGGTCAGTCATGGGGACCAGAGGTTTAGTCTTCTGAGCTTTCAGACTCGTGCTAGAAACCAACCCAGATTGGATCTTGCAGTATTCAACTTATTTTGCCTGCATACTTGGAAGCTGTTGTATAGTTTTTCCCAACCTGGAATCCTGCAGGAATATTGGATTGTGTCCCCCAGAACGGGGTTCAGTTGAAGCACACGTGGATGATGCCAGATTGGGTAAACTGGCTTATCTAGCAAGTTGCCATCACTACTGTCATCAAGGCAGTTAACTCTTTTGATTTACTTCTCTAAAAGCCATGCATGTTTACAGCTATTTTGACAAAAAAAAATTGCAGAGATTTCTGTAACAAATTTATACATTGCATGAACAAGATCCATTTGATCTAAGAAGAGTTTACTCAAGCACCTCTTGGCAGGAGAAAATATGGAAAATCTCTGTTGCTATCATCTTTTTAGATACTTTGCCCTTTTATTTTATCCACATTCTAAAACAAAATGTTCCAAATTAATTGGCCTTACTTTGCAGGGCCGGTGTTTTTCCTTCCCTTATCTTTTTCCAGGTGTATTATCATGGGAATCTAAATGTGGATAAATAAGAACAGCCTTTCTCAAAGTGGCCCTAATCAGATGGGTCACTGCAATTCCCATCAGCCCCCTCAGTCTGTTTGTGCAATACTGAGGACTGATTTTTAATCCATATTTGTAGTATTTGAATGGTTTCCATGTTGAAATGGAAGCATGAAAGAAACCTTCCCCCTTTGTCTGTGGTGAGAGAAAGGGGAGTAAAGAAAAACTGCATTCTCAATTGCCAGGTATTTTGAAAAAGAAAATCACATTGAGAGATTACAATGTAATGAGCTATCTAGCCTAGAGGTGCATTATAGAATGAGAGAGAGAGAACATAAAGTTCCCAAATGAAAGATAAAAAAAATCTAATTTTCCAGAAGATAAAACTTTCTGAAGCTGTGGGACAATCGTGGGTCATTTAAAATCACATGTCTGGAGGCATCAGATTGGAGAAGAATTCTGTTATATGCCAAATCAAAATTTTATGCAAGTTTTCTCCAGACCTCACTGTTTAGCTTACACAATTCATTGAGCTATAAACTATGATTAGTTTGCTCTTTAGTGTATCATATAAATAGAAAATTTGGATAATTGAATCAACCATGATTCAGTTAACTATGAGTGAATGTGTCATGTGAAAGTAACATAATTAAGAATAGGTCAGGTAGCAACTTGGCTGTAATTAACCACAAAGTTCCAAAGCAAAAAAGAAAAAAAAGTTCAAACAAGTGTGCTTGTGGTTTCAAGAAATCTTGTGGATGACATTTCCGGATATTTTGCTGTTAGGAATAAAAAATGAGGATGACCAAATAACTTACATGGAGTTAGAAAAAGTAGTAGTTGTTTTTTAGAAATACATAACCTGACAAAATAAAAATATGTAGAGCTTTTAAAAAAGAAAAACCTGAAAGGATTGTTACATTCAAACAGATTATTACCATCAGTGGATGACATGAAGCTGCATCTATTGAGTTTCCACCTGGAAGAAGTGGCTGCAAGAGATTAAGTCTTAAATACTTGCACGTTCATCAGTGTGAAGGTAGTGATGAGTAGAGTGTTACAAATAGATCAGAGTTTGAAGGTTTTGTTTTTTTTGTAAAAAAAATTATTTTCAATTTTACATTACATCATAAAAAATACTTCAGATAAAGAGTAAAATAAATTTATACATATAACTTTCGGTATTGCTCACCCATTTTCCCCCCAAACCGCATCCACCCTCTAACCTCTCTCACTTCCCTCTTTCCCTCTTCTTCTTCACTCTCCCCCTCTCCTCCTTCTCCTCAACCTTCCTACTTGCTTCTCCCCTTCCTCCTATCTTCTCATTCCATATGCAGTCCAGGAGAAATGCCCGAGCAATTCCTCTCTCCAAAATAAAACATAATATTATATACAATAAAACTATTTCTACTTATCTGAGCTATTTAACCTTCAACCCATCCCCCCACCCCCCTCCCACTTCCCAGAGCCAAGTACAGGGTTATACAAACATATTAAACATAATCTATTTAAGTTTACTAATTATACAATAACCAAAATCATACTAACCCTTAACTCTTTGAAGGTTTTGAATGGAATGGCAACTGATATTATAATAAGGATAGGTCCCTGAAAATCCAGTAAATAGGTGAGTTTGGGAACATGGAAGAAGAGTTTTGGAGATTATTGTTTCTGCAAATCTCCGGGTCTACAATTTTGTCTTCTTAATGGCCTATGGTTTGTGACTGTTCTTATCTATTTGTGCATGTAAAGCTTGCAATCCTGTCCTGTTGTCTGCATTTGTTCTTTTTCTGAAGATGTGCCTAGCAGTGCTTTCACTATTAATACATGTGTTGAAACTGAACCAGTGTCTTCCATTTTGTGTTTGCAATATTTTCTTAACCAGGTCTAATCAAGACCTAATAGGTATATTTGGACAACTTGCAAAGCTTTGGTAGTATTAACTTTGGTTGGGTTTGTGTATATGGGGTGGAGTATGTTGTGCAAATCCAGCCATTTAAATGATATATGATCCCAGGAAAGAGTTTTCAATAATTAATTTAGATACAGGAAATAGCTTCTGCTGAAGGTTTCAGATGACTGGAAAGGACTGGAAAGGGAGGGGGGAGGGATTGGGGATATATATTGTGTGAAATTTTTAAAACTTTTAATAAAATAAAGCTGAAGCTTTGCTCATTGTGCAGTGTTAGACATGATTGGGTTCATACAATGGACAAAGTCAAAGTTTCATTAATTGTAGCTTACAAATGAAAGCAATTATAATTATATAATTAATATAAGATAATTATTAGAGCTTACTGATGAAGGTAAACTAATAAATGTGATGAAGACAATGAGAGTCAGTTTGGTGTAGTGGTTAAGGCATCAGACTAGAAACCAGGAGACTGTGAATTCTAGTCCTGCCTTGGGCACAAAGCCACTAAGTCAGCCCTAGGAAGGAGGCAATGACAAACCAGTTCTGAAAACCTTATCAAGAAAATGGCAGGAACTTGTCCATTTGGTCTCTGAGAACTGGGCACAATTGAACAGAAGAAGAAAAATGAAGGTTCAATTGTGCTTTTTCACAATGGCATGCAACACTTAGCCAAATGAAATAAAGCACACTATAGTATCTATGGGAAGGTTCCAATGAATAGTCTGTTTTGGTTCAGGATGCTGAGGAGCCTCATTTATAGCAGTGGAGATTCCCCAGCTGTTTTTCATCTAGGAACATCTTGACCCCTTCACAGACATTTAAAAACAGGATATTTGATACTATTGGCCAAGCTGATTTGAGTTCAATTGCCAACAGTAAAGTTCTTCTTGCTGTTCAGTTATTAAAACTGAGATTGTGAGCAATATTTGAAATGTATTATTGTTCCCTTCCTTCTCGTTAGCATTAACAAGATTACAGGTACAAATGTCTGTAAGTGACAGCCAGTTGTTTAAAATCTCACACTTCCAATACACAGTCCCTGTCTGGATGGCAGTTTAAAGAATATCTCTCATCTGTTTTATTGCCCATATTATCTGCTGCATGTATTGTACTGAATACAGAAGAAAAGTGTTCTAGCTGAAATCCCATAAAATTTAATTGTTAAGGAAAACATGGAACATGGCTATCCTGTGCAACTTGGCATAAACTCTTATTGCCTAATGAAAATAATGATTTTACTCTTGTAATAATTTTTATGGTTATTAACCTTATACAATTTTGCATCTAGTTCATTAAAGCAGAGGTCCTCAACTTTTTGGGCACCAGGGGCCGGTTCTGTGGAAAGAGGTTTTTCCACAGACTGGAGGGGGCGTGTTTTCGTGTGCTGCCTGCATCCCATGGATTGGGCTTTGTTTGTTTGTGCGGACCAGTTGCTGGCATACCGCGGCCCGGTACTCGTCCATGAATCGGGGATTGGGGAACCCTGCATATGTTTCATTGCATAGCTGATAACTGTACATTATATATCCGTAGGTTGGAACAATATATTAACTAAAATTTAAAAGGTATACCAAAAGGCAGAAAAATCTTTTACTTGATGAACAGAACTTGCAGCTGTCCAGATGTGTTTTAGTGTTGATCACATTGGCAGGGCCTGCTGGAAATCACTAACATCTGGAACACCAGGGGTTCTTCTGCTCCTTCTAGATCAAATTTTAAACTGCCAAAATGAAGCCAATTTCTTGGCCTTGTTGTTGGCTAAAAATAAGTCATTACTGGTACATGTTTTTGGTAGTAGCCGACATACCCGATGGGCTGGGATCTGTGTCTCTCTACATCCATGTAGCGTGTTGTTATCTTCTAAAAGCCTCCATTCAGTTTTACATTTAGGCACTCTAACTCAATTTATTCAGGGTCCATCGAGTAGTATATGGGAGGTGAGATCCTTCAGCCACACCCTCTTTTAATGTTATTCCTTGCTCAATGGTCTCTTTCCCCCATCTTTTAATTTGATTTTGTTCTTGTGTACCCTCAAGAATGCTTATTCTTGCCATAAAGCTGTAAAAGTACAAAAAAGATTTGTACTTCTCCTGAATGAAGTACAGTAGCTTTTTCCAAACCTCTATCTGATGCTGAACTTCTATAAGGAACAACAGAGTTCCATCCTCTTCTGTCAATTCTTAAACTTTTTTGGGGAGAAGGAGGAATTGGCTTCAATGGAATCTGCATGAAGATACCTGTTCTTCTCAAATGCATTCTCTCCTCCAAAAAAGGCTTCTCAATCAGTCCTTACAAAATCCTCCATTGCATTCCTTACAATCTTCTAAAATGGCTAAGATAATGTGAAGAAAAATCTAATTTTGGGTTGAGATCTCAGTGCCAGTAAAACTATAGCTTTTGAAGGATTATTATGCACCATTTCCTTTATTAGATTCCCTATCCCTGTAACTAGGCTTGCAAGCCTGGCAGTTTATTAGTTCCCTGATGGATCACCTTAATTTGTTCTCTCTTATTTGGCAGTGCATTTGAAGAGGTTGGAACCAGCATCTCCACCCAAGAAAGGCTCTGATGGCCAGCAACAACACCACCAGCATAGCACAAGCAAGGAAGCAGGTGGAACAGCTCAAAATGGAGGCAAATATTGACAGAATAAAGGTAAAGATCATTTAGCACTCTAATGTAACTTTGGGCTGGGATTATTCTAAAGAGGTCTTGCACAAATTGATGCCCTTCAGATGTATTGGTGTATCCCTTTAGTATTTATTTATTTATTTATTTATTTATGAGACTTATATACCGCTTTAAGTGCAAGCACTCTCTAAGCGGTGTACACCAGTAAGCAATGTATATATATATATTACATTGCCCCCAACAATCTGGGTCCTCATTTTACCTACCTCGGAAGGATGGAAGGCTGAGTCAACCTTGAGCCGGTGAGATTTGAACCGTTGACCTGCTGAACACAGTCAACTAAAGTGGCCTGCAGTACTGCACTCTAACTGCTGCGCCACCTCGGTATCTTCTCCAGAGGGCACTCCTATTATTTCCTAGCTACAGGTGGTTCTTGACTTACAACCATTTGTTTAACAACTATTCAGAGTTATGACAAAAAAGTGACTTACAACCAGTACTGACATTTGCAACCATTGCAGTGTCTCTGCAGTCACAGTATCAAAATTTGGGCACATGGCAATCCGCAAATATTTGCAATGGTTACAGTGTTGCAAGTCATTTCTCATTTTTTCAGGGAGCTTCCAACCCAGTGAGGGGAGTCAGCTTCATCTAACAACCACATGATTTACTTAATGACCTCAGTGATTCACTTAATGTTGGCATTGCTTAACAATGGAATTCTGGTCCCAACTGTGGTCATAAGCCAAGAACTATCTGTATTGAGAAAAGTTTATAAAGGATTTTTTCATGTGAGAAAAAAATGTATTGCCGTAATAAACTTATTTGCACAAAGTATTGAAAGCATACTGGTGAGTCAGCGGCAAGAGCTTTGGGATAAATTAAGTAATCTCAAAATGTTTTGATCTCAATTTTAACATTGAAATTACCTTGGATGTTCTATAGATGGCCTCAGTTGAGAGAGTAGACTGGAATTTGCTTTGATTTTGCAGTGTCTTTTGATACTGCTGGCCACACATTTTGTGGAAGTAAGGCATAGAGATGTGATGGTTCCACCATTTATCTATGGGATGAATCTCTAAAGATAGCATTTGGGATGATAATTCTATTTGTCACCATAGCACTTGCGAAATAAGGTCCTGCAGGTTTCACCTTTATGTCTTTTCATATCAGTATGAAGTTGCTGGATGAGCTCATTGGAAAATTCGAAGTGAAGCGTCCTCAATCTGTGGCTGGCACCTGGCTGTACTTATCTTTGTCATCTGAACCAAATGAATGAAAGCCAGTTTGGTCTAGTTAGTAGTTAAGACACCAGGCTAGAAACAAATGACTGTGAATTCTAGTCCTGCCTTAGGCATGAAAGTCGGCTGGGTAACTTTGGACCAGTTACTCCTGTCAGCTCACAGCATCGGGCTCAGGTGGCAATTCCTGTCATAATCAATGGATCAACACTTGAGTTAATCTGAAAAAAGTGGAGCCTTCACTATCACAGAAGTATCTTTGGACAATGCTGGCTCCCTCGGCTAGGAAATGGAAATGAGTACTGCCCCTTAGAGTCAGATTCAAGTGGATAGAGGATACCTTTACCCTTATAATTATTCACATTGGCCATCTGCTCTCTTACTTTTTCATGGACAGCAGTTACACCCTTATAGATTGAGTGGACCTAAAACCAGGTCCCCAGACATTCACATCATGAAAAAATGTTTGTGGGCATAGCAATTTGACACCTCTTCACTGTGAGCAAAGGGATGTGCCTCTAGGTTTCTCACACTCTATCCTTAAACCATAGGGGATAAATGGCAGCATTTCAAAAATAATAGGAAAATGTTTTGTGGCTGTGGATTAAAGTTGGCTTTTTTCAGAGTTTGTTTGTTACTCATAGCAAGTGGGGAGACAGTCCAGGTGATGTTGACGTTCATGGTAGACTCTCCATTGGACAGGCAGACCAGCTATGTGGATTTCACTTCTTGCATAAAAGAAGTGAAAAAAGAAGGGAATTATATTCTCCATCAGAGTGTAGGAACTTTTCCATGTACACCCCTAATCTGGAAATCTTGAAATTTTTCCCCATGTTTTCTATCTCTAAGTCAGAGAGGAATCTCACTTATCACTTAATCTTTTTGATGCAACTTCCCCTCATAGCTATGGCTGGAATCTGCAAGGGTCTAGCCCTGAGGTTTGATATAGTTAGCCTCACATGTAAAGCTCCAGATTGTACAGTCTCACTCTCTTCTCCATCAGTTACTATGGCAACTGCAAGCCTCATCAGCGAAGCTTGGCATCTTTGTAAAGAGGGATAGAAGCACCTTGCGTATGAAAAACCTGCCACTTGCACGCAAAAGCATCAGTCCAAGCTGCAACCGACAGCGCTTGATATCTGGGAAATGGTGTATGCTCTTTTTTTTGTGGGGGAGGGAGGGGGAGTCTCCCAAACATAAACCTCCTAAGATTAGATTGGCATTTTAAATTTAGAGTAGGGTAAATTGCTACACTTCTGAATGTAGCACCAGTCTCTCCTCAAGATTCCCATGATCAGGGCTAAGCCACCTGGATCAATGAAAAGCAATTGTTTAAGCACTGGTGGGAAATGCTTAAGATTTAAGAAAATCAGTGTTGGGCTCTGAAGGGGGAATGAGGGAGGTGTGTGTTTCTTCTGGGAGGAACAGTTGCCCACAACTTGCAGGGAAATGCAGCGTCACCTTCAGGATTGAGAACAGGCCAAGAAAAAATTGTGCTAGGCTCAACATAGTCCATATAGATTGCTCACAGCTACAACCACTTGGCCCTTTAGTATCTTTCCATTTGCTCCTTCAGAATATCCCTCTCTTAATTTCTCTTTCCATTTACAGTACCATTCCCTTGTCAATGTGGTCAGCCATGACTCTGCTCCAGCCAGCCTTGCCTCTACCTGCTCTCCTCTGAAGCCCCAAAAGAGCATCCATGGAGAGCTGTCAAAATGGCAGCCATGACAACACAATTGAACCCCTGCCATTTATTTACACACATCACATACCATGCACATAAAAAAGGGCAAGACTTGATCCCTTTTGATACTCTGCGAATGTCCCTGAACCTCAAGCCTTTGATCCCAAGAGTTTTATTATCAGCCAAATAAGGAGGGATCAAGCAAGGAATTAGCCTTGAGTTATTGCACAGCCTCGAGAGACCTAGGGCTGACTCCCTCTAAGTTCCCTGGGACTTTATCTGTTTGTTGCCCGAGAAGGCAAGCAATCTAGGGAGATTCCTGCATTACAGGCAGAATATGATAAAGTAGTCAGCTTGAACCCAACACATACTGAATTGGTTGCTTGCAGCTTCCATTTGCTTTGCAAGATTTCTGGTCTGCCTCAGAAACAGCTCAGATGGTCGTCACTATCTGACATCTTACCAACATCTCAGCTAAGCACCTTCAGTGACTTTTTCATTGCTTTTTAGTGGCAGAAGAATAAATCCACAATCATACTCTCCCTCCTGTAGCATATGCCAAGAACAATATGGGATTTGGGACTGGCTTTAGGATACACAGTTCCTTGAGTTTAATCCATTGATCCATTTGCAAGAGCAGGGAAACTGGGGCCTAGAGATGGGATTGAGATGGGCTATTTCCCATGACATTAATATGAATTAAAATGAGAGATGTTTAATCTCTTTCTCTCCTGAAAAAGGAAAGGTTGCATTTAATGATCTTTGTAGCAGATGACATGCCAGTATAAGGGAATGTATTTGCCTTTTTGAAAAAAGGCAGCTAGTGCAGTCATGGGATTCAGCCAGTTCGCACCGGTTCGGTAGAACTGGTAGCTAATTTTTTGTTGACTCTGGCAAACTGGCTGAAGCCCTAGCCCAGTGGTGGTGAACCTATGGCACGTGTGCCAGAGGCGGCATTCAGAGTCCTCTGTGGGCACGCGCGCCATGCCCCAAAGATGGCAACTGTCCCTCTTCAAGCAGTTGCCCGCTAACTCGCCGAGGTCCACGTGGCCAGATGCATCCCAGTTTCCCTCCCCCGTCTCATCCCTCCTGGCCTCACGTGCTTTCCTTTTCCTGGGCATGACCCACTACATCGCCTTCTCAGCTGTCGGCTGGCTGTCCAGCTCAGAGGTGGCTTCTCTGAACTGGTGGCGGGCTGCAGAGCCCCAGAATGCGCCAGTCGAGGGGCCAGCAGGCTGTGGTTGCTGACAGACACTGTCGGCCCCCATGCGCTCATTGGCCTCTGTGTGCGGGGGCCGATGGTGTCAGGAAGCAGCTGCCCCGGTCCCTGCCTCACCTTGCCCTGTGACAATGGCCCCCCTGTCCTGCCTCACCTTGCCTCATCCTGCAGGACGAGCCTCCTGCCCACCGCCCCACCTGCCAGAGACCCCCTGGATCTCCCCCAACCCTGCCCGATCCCCACAGGCATCCCTCCCCACGAGCAACATTGAGGTGACCATGCCCACCTTGGCCACACCCACCTAGTCTGCCATGACCACCACAGCCACGCCCACCCAGTGGGCCATGCCCACCTGGCACCCAGCGATAAATAAATGGGTTTTGGGTTGCAATTTGGGCATCTGGTCTCTAAAAGGTTTGCTATCACTGCCCTAGCCCTTTTTCGCAAGGCCCAGAACGGCCCACCAGAAGTGTGTAAATGCCACTTCCTGAAGACTGTTCTGAGACTCGGAGGCCTGAGGGAGACCTCCAGGCCCAGAACAGCCCACCAGAAGTACATAGATGCCACTTCCGGAAGTCTCTTCTGAGCCGGGGAGGCCTCCCAGGCCTAGAACAGCCTACCGGAAGTGCATGAATACCGCTTCCGGAAGTCCGTTCTGAGACTCAGAGGCCTGAGGGAGGCCTCCCAGGCCCAGAACGGCCCACCAGAAGTGCATGGACGCCACTTCCGGAAGTCTGTTCTGAGCCAGGGAGGCCTCTCAGGCCCAGAACAGCCTACCAGAAGTGCGTGAACACCACTTCCGGAAGTCCGTTCTGGGCCTCAGAGGCCCAGACCCAGAACAGACTTCCGGAAGCGGTGTCCATGTAGAAAACTGATTGTTCAGGTATTTGAATCCCACCACTAAGCTTGTGGCACATAAATGCTTGACACCATTGTAGATCCTGTTGGCACAAAAGGTCATTTTCATTTTGTGCAGAAAAAAGTGTGTAAACTCAATCTCTTCACTTGATGAGACATTAGAAGTTAAATTTCCTAACTTGAGCAAGACAAGATTGAATAGCTTTTCCTGTGTGAGTCACTTGGTGACAAAATTCTCACATGTTAAATCACAAATCTGTGCTAATGAGCCATGGTTGAGTTCCCATAGCACTGTCTCCAGAAACCATATTGTAGTTTAACATTGGTTGCCTGGTAAGCACAGGTTGTTGGGGTAAAAAACTGAAGGATCCTGATATTGCAAGATAGATGGTGATTGAGATGGGTTTAAAGAAATGAGTTTGTGCAAGATAACTAAGCTAAAACAAGGCATACTACAACAAGGTTTAGCAAAATGAACTTCAGCTAGTCTTTCTTCTAAGAATGTGTTTGACACTAATAAAGGAGAATATTTGTAGCTCAGGGTTGAATTGTGGGGTCCTTGGTGCTCTCTGAGCTTGGTTGTTTTCTTGCAGATGTTTCATTACCCAAACTAGGTAACATCATCAGTGCTCTGCAGTGCTGTAATTTGGTTAATGAAGTCTGCAAGAAAACAATCAAGTTCAGAGACCACCAAGGACTTTTCAGTTTATTTGGTGTTTCCTTGGCCAACTGGCTACACATCTTTGCAAGTTAAGAACAGCTACTGTGGAATACCAAAAGAATATAAACCCTCTTTTTATTTGCAGGTATCCAAAGCTGCAGCAGACCTGATGGCGTACTGTGAAGCCCATGCCAAGGAAGACCCCTTATTAACTCCTGTCCCTGCTTCAGAAAATCCATTTAGAGAGAAGAAGTTCTTCTGTGCCATTCTGTAAACCTCACAGGAGCCTGACTCCAATTTGGGCTGCCCTGGACACTGATGTAGAGATTTTTCAGCAACGTGGACCAGTTTCTAGAGTCCACTTACTTTAAGAAAAATGTATCAAACCACCTGAAAGTTTACAGAGAAGTGCATGATAAAAAAAAAAAAGTGAATTCCTGCCTTCTTTGGAGAACGAGTTAATAACGATGTTGACCTACATCAAGAAGCTAAAGATCTTGACATGCAGAGTTGCCTGGAGGAGGAGGGAGGGGGGAAATGTGTAAAAGAGTACATTTAATTTTCACTTTTGCTCTAGCCAAACCAAACCCTGTTGTCTTTCTCCGAAACAAAAATGAGGGTGCGCAGAGCAAGGTTGCAAATGATGCAATGGGGTATGTGTATGTAACCTCGATTATTTTGTTTTGCTTTTCCCAAATGTCACTCTTATTTATGTTGAAATGTAAAATAATTGCAA